CTGTTGCCATGGAAACCTCACTGCAAAAGGCAGTTCTCCTGTCCCATATAAAGAGAGAGAGAGAGGTTCTCGCCTGGTGTTGGGGAGACAGATTAAACCTGACAGGCTGCTCATAAATGATATAAAACATTAATAAATCCCTGCCACTACAGTTCTGTATGTGCTAGTATGTGTGCAGCAGTATCACCAAAGCAGCAGAAATCTACACATAAAATTGTGCTGATGTGTCATTGCCTCCTGTTCCTAATTTGCATTAAATATTTTTATTGCCGGTGTTTTATGTGGAATATTATGAGGGGAAAATGAAAAGAAATAAACAAAAATATAAATGGCTGCAGCAGTTGACACAAGTTATGTTGCCTTCAAATGGCTCAGCATGGCAATTTTTCTCTTTTTTTATACTAGCATAACTCTTTAACTGTGTAATATACAGCTGTCTTCTGTTTTCAGATACTATCCCAGTAGAATGGTCACTGAAGAATTCTCTCCATGTTAAAGTAGCGTCTCTTTTTAAAGTGGACTTTTACCCCCCTTTCGCTAAAAATCACCTCAGCGTGTAGCTCTGCATGCTGATATGGTCCTCTTGGGCATTAGTGATGTAATCATTCCAAGCAATGCATCCTGGGAAGGTTACATCAGCAGAGCATTGCTGGGAAATCTCACCTGCAATATCATGAGATCTCAGGGAAGGCATTTTCCTCCCCTGAGATCATGTGCATGGTCACATGTTATTGTCACATGTGCCAGAGTTCCAGGAAGTAAAGGGAGATGGATTAATCTGCCCTTAGTAAAAAAAATAGCCATTGTGGGAAGAATGGTGCAAAAAAAGAAGGTATACAAAGAATAAAAAGCCTGCAATTATCTATTAGTATCTGTTTGCAGATTGTCATTACTAAACATTTCTAAATGTGTATTTGTTGTCATTTCAAAATTATGGGTAAAGTTCCTCTTTAAGGTTTGGTCAACTTGGGAAAAAGAAAGGCTAGAGCTACACAAGAGATTTGTAATAGCTCAGTGCTGCTATTTGAATTGGTAGCGAATCGATTCATCGCTAGGAGTAGCAAATGATCGCTAAACAGCTGAAACAAATTGCTCCTGATGTAGTAACCTACACAGTAGCATATTTCAGGGATCAATTGCATATGGCCAGAACATTCTGCAGTCATGCAAGATTGACCACTGCTACATGCTACTTTTGTAGCTTACTCCATAGGGATCCATTTGTTCCATCTGTTCCTAGCAAATAATCACTTGCATTTTTAGAGTCACGATTGAGCTACTACAAATGTCTCATGTTGGTTTAGGCCAATGAGGTGACTAATAGCAACTGGTTAAATCATTTAGTATCAAGAGATTAAAACTGCCCATACAGCTTAGTCAAAAGCGTGTCATCTGGGGCAATTTTAACTCTGTACAGAGTATCTGATCTATTGTTTTAGCAAAAAGAGCAACTGAGGAAGCCACTAACATCTTCAACATTAGAGAACAAATCCAATAGACGTTTAGCACATGTTATACGATCAATGATCAATGATAACTTTCACAGACATATGACTTAACTACCATTTATTGAGGGCCATAAAAGGGAAAGGGGGGGGGGGGAGTGAGTGTGTACCTCCTAAACCATACCAGACCACATGCCTTTAACATTGGGATGGTGCCTTGTCGAGGGAAGTAGGGGTCGACAAAGCCAGTGTTGAGTAAACAAGGGCCTCACGGCCAAATTCTGTCCCTCAAAAGTGTCTGTCGAGGGTGTACTTTTTAGAATCTGGAAGCCCCCTTTACAAAAGGACAGAGTTTCAGATGATGCATGTTAATAAACATCGGAAGGGGATTTGGCCAGGCAAAGTGGCAAAAATTGGCAAGTTTGTTTGCCTGTACCCAAACTGAGGACAGGCTAGGTTCAGGTCGAGCTCATGTTCAACCTGAACCCAAAGCTCATCCCTAATGATATATGCTCTTTTAGAAAGGTGTCTCCAGAACAAGTTTTCTCATTGAAAGATTTCCCTTGACCTCCTGTTCCTGTGACAACTTGGAAATTTTAAATTTCCCATTACTTTGTAATCTGGAGACAATGGTAACAGGACAAATACTGAGTGTAAATCTCCCCACCTGGACATAGACAATGACAAAAACTTGACAGGGTTTTGTACCCTCCAGAACCCTCCAAAAAGGTTTTGGCTTTACATATACATTACGTTTTGTGGTTTTAAATGCCCCTTTTTATTGCCATTACCCATGACTACTGAGGTTTGTAGCCACATACGTAGTTCAAAGCAACTTCCATTTAGAAATAAGGTTTTAACAAATAATGTCAACTTTTTGAAGTATTCATTCATGCAAACTTATATGAGAAGGAAGTGTGACTGCAATAAGTAGCAACCTTTTAAGGCCCTGACTGTGCATGGGGGCGCAGTGGTGCTGGGATGAAACAGGACCTTCCCCAAACTTTTGCTACAAGGTTGGAAATGCACAAATGTCTAAAACGTCTTTGTATGCTGTAGAAGTATCAGTAACCTTCACTGGTTACACCTGGACTCAGACAAGATGCTGAAAAGGGTCAAGTACTGTAGGGTATGATGTGGTTGTTTAACTAAGCAGTGTCAATGTACCTGCGAGTCAGGCACCAGTAAAAACAACAGTAGTGTATTAGCTATCCCTGACCAGGTATCCTGTGCTGGAGGAAAAAAAGGGATTGCTGAGTTTGCCAAGTCTTTGTTTAAATAGTTAACATTGCTCCTGAGTTTATTACCAGCTGCTGTCTGGTGGGTTTCCCTTTTGAGGGGTGTGCAGGAAACGCTGTCAACAACACATAGGCTATATCCAGCTGGGTGTCCTTTTTTATTACTAATGTTTTATACAGTCTAATCATGGGTTCCAGAAAATACCTGTTTTCCAGGCTACAGGCTAACAAACTAGAATCTCTTTTAGTGAAACTCTTAAAGGTGAAAAGCTAAATACACAGTTGAAAAACATATATGGAAGTTGTTTTCCCATCCAGAGGATTGTACAGTAATACCTTGGTTTACGAGCATAATTCGTTCCGGCAGCATGCTTGTAATCCAAAGCGCTTGTATATCAAAGCGTATTTCCCCATAGGAAATAATGGAAATTCAGATGATTCGTTCCACAACCCAAAAATATTCATATAAAATTATTACAATACTGTACTGTAATATAATACTGTACAAAATATAAATAAAAATAAACCAATTACAGTTACCTTTGTGGCCGGTGTGAGGGGGACAAGAGAGAGGAGGATTATTGTGTAGGACGACTTTCACTATCACTAACGGAATCACTGCTATCTCTTGACTCAATGCAATCTTTTTCATTTCGTGAAACCTTAACAAGGAATCTATCCAATGTGACATGCATTGTCGTTAAACAGACTCATCGCTCGCACTGCTACAGCCTTATTCGGGTGGCGCTTTTCTACAAAATTTTGCTCTTATTGCAAGACATTTGCTTGTATATCAAGGCAACATTTTTCATAAATGTTTGCTTGTCTTGCAAAACGCTCTCAAACCAAGTTACTTGTAAACCAAGGTATTACTGTATTTGTGTCCATCCTGTGCTGGGATTTACACAGGGTTACAGCAGGTTGGTGACCCCATTTTCTATACTGTATTTAGGCAAAACAGCCTGGTCAGCTCCTTGCCCCCAGCTTGTGATTGGACAGTGAAGGAGCAGCAACAAACCAATGAGGTCATTATTTCCTCTCTACTTCTTTTATCATGTTCCTTTTCAGCACATGCACACCGTAGACTTCCATAATGAGCTCATTTATCACATTCAGCTGTCGCTTGGTACAACATACAGTAATGATTTCATTAATCTATCCTCATATCAGGAACCTCAGCACACAGGTTTACAGGTTAACCATAGCCGCCAATCAAATTCTCCATTTTCTGCTCCAAACAGCACTACAAACATGAAAAAGAGAAAATTATTGACTGCTTTCAGCAAAAAGAACAGTCCTTCTATTGAGTCATTTGACTATATGACTAAAATTCAGAGCTCTGTTATATGGGGAACATCTCAACCAGACTTGCTAGGTTTTGCATTATTTTATTGAAGAAATACACCTCTAGAAAAGTAATTAAATACAAATATGTTTGCTTTTATAACATTCTTCATCTTAGCCTGCATTCACACCTGAGTGACGTAAAATATGCGCTTTTTCAGCACATTTTGTTTAGCACGTTTTTGCATACTTTTTGCACGTTCTACGCTCATACATAAAGTTGCACATTCTAATGAGCAGATTACAGCACATTGATGTGAATGGACAGAAAAATATTTAAAAAATGCATCAATCACGCGTTTTTGAGCGTTTCCATTGAAGTTTATGGGGCCAAGAAATGCAGAATCTGCCACAAAGAAGCTCATGTGCTTTCTTCAAGCGAAGGGAATTTTGCTACAAGCAGTATGACGCTCAGATGTGAACACAGCCGGAGAAATTTATGGGAATTTTTTTTTGGGGGGCGTTTCTTTTATTGTTTTTTGAGCAGAAAAAGTGCTACAAAATGTTCAGTGTGAATGAGGGCTAAGGTTCTGAATATGCTGGCTAGACATCTAGACAGTCATGGATCTTTTTTATATTCTTCAGTATTTGATGGCCCTTATTCCAATGAACTTTACAGATATTCAAATTCTATTCAGAATACCCACAAAGATACATCGTTCCACGTGTTTAGCGACTAACATAGGAATTCAGTCTTACAATAATACATTTCTAACTCCTCCCCTCCTCTTCCTCTTTCTGTAGGGGTCCCCCAAGGCTCTGTCCTTGGACCCCTTCTCTTCTCTATCTACACCTCCTCTCTTGGTCAGTTAATAACACAGAAAGGTTACAATTGTTTTGAGCCTGAGCCAGTACAACAGTTCTGTGATGTTGATCAATTAACATTAACAATTGTTTTCAGAGGTAAGTTTGCACAGTGTATTGATAGTATGTATGCACGTGTGTATTTATATAATTACTGATGGTGACTAACCTATGTTTGGATGCTTCAAGAGACGACAAATTCGTGCTTCGCGTTCCAGTTTCTGGTGATCTGGAAAAAAGAGACATATAGTTATTGCAAAGACACTCAATGCATGTAGGCTAACTGATTTGGTGCTACAGCCAGAGAAAGGCTAATGGCTATGAAAACTAGACTGGTTGCCAGGTAATTTTGCTGATAGGAGAGCCCAATGGTGGACCTGGATTATCCAAATGGCAACCTAGGCAGGAGGGGCACGGCTACAACTTTTAGGGATAGTGCAACTGGTCCAAGATATGTAAACAAATTATTGCTTCCATGGTAAGGAAAAAGGAATTTCCACATATTATTTGGATACGTTTAGGTGGTTTCTTTCAAAGTTGTGGTCATCAGAAATCAGGAAAGATTTGTTGGGATGCTTCAAGTCTGCCTGACTTTCTGCAATTCCAGTGGGATGGCAGTAGTTCTGCCCAATCCCCAGGCCTAGACCTGACAAAATGCATCTCTTGATAGTATCTCTAAATATCGGATCCTTTTACATTTGCCTATTTTCCACTCTTTTCAAAATATAAACTGAAATGAAAACTTGTGAGTATTTTATAATCCAGACACAAATGTCATGTCCCTAGACCACCCACTGCTACAATCTGCTTAATGTGAACCTTTACTCTTTTTTACTAAAAATCACAGCAGCATGCAGCTCTGCATGCTGATTTTAAATCATATTACATTCATTAGTTAAACAAACATGTTTTTTATTTATTTACAAATAAAGTTCATCTACTTCCTGGTCCAGTTCTGGCACAAATGATGTATGTGCCAAAGTGTTGCATCTTGGGAAGGTTACATCAGCAGAGCATTGCTGGGAAATCTAATTTGTAATCTCACGAGATCTCAGGGAAAGGCATTTTCCTCCCCTGAGATGATGTGCATGGTCACATGTCCTAGTCACATGTCTAGTCACATGCCCTGGAGTTCAAGGAAGTAAATGTAGAGCTAGTAATCTGCTCTTGGTAAACATGGCCACTGTCAGAAGACTGGGGAAGAAAAGAGAAAGGAGGTATGCAAAGAATACAAAGCCTGCAATTATCTAGAAGTATGTGTTTGTAGATTGTCATTACTACACATTTCTAAAGGTGTGTTTGTTGTTATTTTAAAGAGTTGTGGGAACACCTCCTAAACTTTGTAAAAAAATAATATTTGATAACAAAATGTACCATACTATGCTTTTTAAAGACAGAGAAGCTTTACAAAAAGGCCACCGTTCCTCTAAAATGTACTTCCTATAGTAAAGAATGAAAACAGAGTAGGAACATTTTGTTCAGTGCCAACTCTGAAGTCCTGTCTGTAGTTTAAACGGTAGTAAACAGAACTCAACATAAACAGAACCAGAACACAGAAATGGATGTCAAATATATTGTATAATTCTAACTACTCTGCTAAGAAAGCCCCAACATATACCTGTTCATACTGAGTGTTTTTTTTACCAGGCTGTGCCCAGGCAGCCACAGATTATCAGTGTCTTCAGATTAATTGTGAATGCTTTTTGTAAAACTTCACATGCCTCTCATGTATTCCTGCTGTTCACACTGGCGTCAAGGAACTCCAAACTCCAGTGGCATTCAGTAGGGATTAAAGTCTGTGTGCCATACCGCTTTGGAGCCCACACAAAAACCACTTCAGGAAGGGATACCAAAGGTGTCCTATGCTGGGAATCAGAACATCAAAGATAGTACTCCTAGGCAGCCTCCAGATTAATCCTGCAGGGTGATGTAAACACTGGAAAAACACAAAAGAGATGGAGTGCCTCTAAGAGCATCAGTGGGTCAGTAGTTAATATTACATTAATGAAAGGTGCTCACCTTTTAAAAATGACCATCTCCACTTTCCAAACTCTACCTCTAATTATTCATACCTCCTTGTCATGGTACACAATACTGTGTTATCCTGGCCCATATAAAAGGGCAGCACCTTTATTAATGTAATATTAACTGATGACCCACTAATACTCTCAGAGGTGCCCTGTCTCTTTTGTGTTTTTCCATATAGCTTTGGGTACCTCAATAATCCATCACTGTAGTAAAGGCTTAGACAAGGGCTTTTGCAATACTAGTTTTTGAAAAATGGACAACCTCTTTTTATGTTTTCCAATTATTTACATTGATTCCCTTAGATCCTAAAAGCTTGAACACTTAGAGTAGACTTTGTTAAACGTGAACATCCTTCATTCATCACCCCCACTCTTGCTGAGTCAATGGACAGCAGGATGTGGCAAGTAAGGGAAAAAATAGGAACAGTCTGCATTATGCAGAATGTGTCATGTTTTTCTTGTTAAAGTCGTTTAGTCATAAGAGTCTTGTTCTAGAAATGTGGTGTCCTTCCCAGTTGAAAAAAATCAAGTTCATAAAGAAAATAGCTTATTTCCCTTCAAATGCTAATATTTAAAGTCCAGAATTGACGATTTCAGAAGAGAACATAATTACAATGAGGTTTGCAAAGACTGACTTTTAAAGTTCATTATATTGGCAGTTGATTGCTCATTTTCTAATTTTCCATTTTAGAGTTAACCTTTTTCCTAACCCTACTATTAACCCTAGCATTAACCCTAACCCTAGCATTAACCTTCTTCATTAGATGAATACCTGGTGAGCCTGCCATGAAGGTCCTTGTTCAAGCACAGGAGTACAAATGTCTTCCAGTTGTTTCCCTGCATTGTCATTCTGTTCCCTGCCTCCAACCCAAGTAGATACAACAAGTGGCCATGCTGACACCCTGTGCAGGCATGGCCCAGTGTTGTCACTATTGTGAAGTCCATCCAGTGGTTTGCAAACGACATTGGAGCGAGTAAATGCAGACAAGAAGTGGCTGTAATAGTCTAGAGCAGCTCAATGAACGAAACAGAGTTTCCTTTTTGGAGGCAATATCAAATTCATAAAAATAACTCCGCTAATCCCTACGCTGACCAGCAAATAAATGTTTGTGCTTGGTCAATAGTAAATAGGAGGCTCAAAGATTCTTCACACAGTCGCCCACTGGTGACTATTCCACCACTGATCCAATAAACATGAGTATGAATAATCTATCAAATTGTAATCAGAGCCTTTCAGTATTCAGAAGACCTTAAAAGGTCGGAACATGGCAACCCAGGCTTTACTTTGACAAAGTATAATTACATTTTGAGTGGGCTTGGATAATTTGTGATTATCAGCTCTCTATCAGCTACTCAGGGGGAAATATAAGTATCTCCAGCAGTTGGAGATGTTATCTCTCACACAGGAGGATGTCCAGTTTGTTAGAATACCTTCCTATTAATGGGCATAATCCTTGCTCTGCTTTCATATATAGCTTATCAAAGTATCATACATGCACTGCAGTCAACACAGTTCCAGTATGGCTGTAGTTGCTCTTGAAGTGACTCTTTCAAAGACTAGCAGATATCTTCCCTAGCCATTCAATCTCGTGATCTCAGGGGGTTATCCCCTAACATATAGCCAGTCTAAGGCTGGGTTCACACCTAGGCGTATCGAATATGCGCATTTGTCGCGCGTTTCGTGCCACGCGTTTTTACCGCAGTTTGCGGTAAAAAAAGACACGTGACAAATGCGCGTTTCTGAGGGCTACCTGGCTGTATCCCAGCTCCTGTACTTCTTTGGGCGTAGGGCGTTTTGCAGCGCCTTCCTACATGCTGTAAAACGCGAAGGTGGGAACCATGCCCATAGGCAATCTTTGGTTTTCACATGTTGAGCTTTTTACAGAGCCTAGGAACGCGCTGTAAAACGCACAGGTGCGAACCAGGCCTTAGTGTTTATCAACTGGTTATTCAGACTGATAAAGTTTGAGAAGAGAGATAATTATATGAGCCATGAGCAGAATGAGCGGTTTTGGATGCTGCCAGTCTAGTACAGCTGCTTCCAGCATTTTATGGATTTAATTATTTACACCTCTACATTACAATAACCACAGAAATGACAAGTACTTTAACAGCATGTGTCACTGCTCATAAATATCATGTAAACACCAATCGGATGATGGGGCTGCTTGAGGGTTAAACACTTAGAAGGGAGTGATCAAAGTTTAATTTCTTTTTAATCACAAATTACTTTATCTTTCTTTCCAATTCTTTCATTGGATCAGGTAACACACAACTAAATGAGCAGGAAGGAAAGTTGTTCTATGCTCAGTGTTTCTACACTTCAGTATGGCAGAACCATGGAACACCTGCCAACACAGATTTAAAAAACATTTATAACAAATTTTGGTCCCAGAACATCTCAATGGTCATACCTAGAGCAAAAATCCCCCACCCCATTAGTCAAATGGAACCTCTGCTTACATGGAGAGCACATCTGTCAGTGGGTAGCGATATTATAGGACCACCTCTGCAGTCTAATCCATGAGTTTGATTTTGGCACTGAATGTTCAAATATAGTTTAGGCTGGCTATAGACCAGGAGCATTTAGTTTGAATAAAGTTCTTTTTGGAACATTCATTTTCATTGATGTTCTGATAGTTAATGGGGTTAAAACGACAACCGATTTAGATCGCAGTGATGAAAAAAATCGAAGAAGCGGGATAGAAAGTTTTTCTCCAACGATCAAAATTCTAACAGTGAATTTGGTTTTTATTCAAGAAACTCCATTAATTCCAAAATTGAATGTAAAAATCAAATGAAAATGTACAAAATTCTGACAACATTCTACACATCTCTTATAGCAGGGCTCAAAATTTCCACTCGCCTGCTCGCATTTAGCGAGTGGAAATGCAGTGCAGGTGAGTGGAAATTCAGTCAGGCTTGAGTCAGTACCTGACTAGTGGGAGCAGCTGCTCCTGCTGGGCTCTCCATTCTTTCAGCCCTAGCTCTTCACTGAAGCTACTGGTTGAAAACGGAGTGATTAGTAATGTCTGCAGACCTTACTAATCACACCAGATCACCAGGGATCTGCCTGCTCGCCTCCTCCCTGCAGAAAGACAAGCAGGCGAGGGGGGCTTCATTATTTTACTTTACAAGGTAGGGGACAGGGGGCTTCTTATTTTATGTGTGGGAGGAGGGAACAGGGGGGCTTCTTATTTTA